TACAAGATCTCCACAGACAAACGTACATGCAGGCTCTCAAATACGGAAGCTCAGAGTGCCTCGATACGTCTAAAGCATCGGCACCGTCCGGGAACACGGTGTCTATCTCATGTTGTAAACGCTTGAAGCAATCACGGTCCGACAAGAGACACCATAACATGCAACTCATTGCTGATGCAGTGGTGTCTGATCCAGCTACGACCGCCAACAAACTGTCGGCGATGACATCGTTCACGGGCGGCTTGGATTTCTCAAAGCCTTCTTTATCCATCTACACGGAACGTCAAAAATCCCCCTCAAGTGAAATGATGAACAGACGGTCACCAAATGATACCACAAATCCTTCGTCTTCGAGCCGCTTTGTATACGATTAGTGGCACGTTGTGCTGTATACGGCCTCATCCCCCCAAATCGCTTGGAGAAAAGCGGAACGATGGAGGCAACGGCTTGGTACGCCCATGGGACATGGCACACCGCGGATATAACTCTAAACATTACGTTCATGGTGTTAACCAGAAATGGCGACTGGAACGACATACATACCTCCAGTATATATCCATCATGGCGAAGATCCCGTCACCTTGGCCGTCATTCGCAATCAATTCAGTACCGCCTCCGAACCTAGTTGTTATTAGCTTCAGGTACCACAGGTCCGGGGATCATCCGAAGTATCGTTTACTCACGCCATATCCCCCATGAAGTCCACGCTGGAAATCGGTCAGTATGAGCCGGGGAGTCGGAAGGGAAGGAAATTCACGCAAAGTAGCTCAGCCATGATACCAAGTCCAGAGACTTGGTACTCAAGTCTTGTAATTTCTCTGCTAGTTGTGTCGCTCTCTCTGAGATGTGGACCTCGTAGTTTTTGATCGCCTGGGCGTTCAGGCCCCTAGACCAGATGCGTCGTCTGCTGGTATGCGAAGCGCCAGTCAACAGTATGAGAGAAGTAGATCCAGGGGGAGATACGTGTCGGCATGTATAATCTGGGACATGCCGTGGTAATTAGGCAAAGCTGGATTTATGGGACAGGATCGGGGCTCACAGATGCCTTTGGGAAGTCCTCTCGTCCCGAAAACTGTGATAATTGATTGCGCATCAATGATGGACACTTCGTTGGGTCCTATCGGGGGTGACTGTAAATACATAATTGAGAGATCGAGCAGACGGACTTACCCGTTCGGACTATGGGCCCGTACTCGTCATGAAGGTCCTTCCAATCAAGGTGTTGATAGCCTTTCCAGCATATCCATGCGCCGTACAGCTTCGTGACCTTGTAGAGAATTGGGC